CTATTTTCGGGGCTTTGGTTGTTGTTGGCGAGACCTGGGTTTCTCCTTGCGGAGCCTGTGTTCCTAATCCTACGTCCACATGTTCCAGGTCATCGCTCCGTCGAACTTAATCCAGTGTAAGTAGAATATATATATATACGCGTAGAATCAGAAGTCAAGTCTTAGACATGGAATCATATGGCAATTTCAATAGTGAAGGTGTTGCGTGGAAACCTGGAGTGAAATGAAATTGTCCGGACACACAATAAAGCAAACCCAAAGTTTCGACAATGTGCAATCACTTATCATGAAGTGTTTCGAGCGGTAGCCATGATATTACATTTCATTTTCGGAAAGTGAAAGTTCGATATATATTACTCTCGAGGAATGGATTCAACTACTGCAGCACAGGGTTCATTACTGAGACCTCCGGGTTCGTGAAAACGGACAATTTACTAATGAGTATTAATGTATTTTTCAACGAAAGATTCTGCACTATGATGTTAAATTTTCATCATTTTCCAAAATCTTATCACACAGCGTTCCAGATTTCTCCGTTGCCCACTGCGGCACGTCCTACACGTGACTTCACATACTTCACCTACATGTACAGTAACTGTAATCCAATACAGAGTAAGACTTTAGATTGAGAGCTGTAATCCCTTTAACATGGTGGTTTTTAGCATATGTGGCATATTTTGAATTATTTTTTCTCCAAATTTAATAACAGTAAATCAAGTGAGGCCATGTCAGTGAGATCTTGTTCACCTCATCGTCTCAGCTGCATTTCTTATGATATCTTTGTAAAATATTTTCTGTCTACCAAGTTCTTCTGTTATTTTGTATTTAATATATTCTGCAATTTACAAGACTAGTCATATTATGAATTCTTTTCATAAAGTGCCTTAATGAACGCAAAATTTGAAGGCCGTTACTATCTGTCCTAGTTAATTTGAAACTACAGAAAATAATTAATAGCAGCCTGTTATTGGAGAGTATATTTACAGGTATGGGGATTATAATTTGTTTTTATTGCTAGTGGGGTGGGACTAAGTCCCTTGTAATGCGGTCACTTCTGGCCTATTGTACCAGCCCCAGATGATAGGTGAGGGTGATTGTGGAGCAATTGGTGGAATGAAGATTGGCAGGGGAAACCGAAGTACGCGGAGAAAACCTGCCCCAGCGCCACTTTGTCCACCACAAATCCAGACCCGGGATCGAACCCGGGCCGCCACGGTGGAAAGCCAGCGACTAACCGCTTGAGCTATGGTGCGGCCACAGGTATGGGGATACTTTACTTTTTTCGAATCGGTCCAATATCACTGTTATTTTTCATAAAGCTGAAGGCAGACTTCATCAGTTTTCTCAAAAAGTACTCACAGTGCAAAAAAGCTGTACTGAACACAAAGCATCTCATTACGAAACACAGGTATCACCTAACACCGCTTTCGGTACGACGAATGTTTAAAAGAATACAAGGAGAAATAATTTCTGAATGTGCAGCACAATTAGCTTTGAAGTATTTCATATCTACAATAAAAACATTCACGGCCAAAGGGGCATGCGGGGTGTCAATGAACGCGTCTAGGTACTAAATGCGCTGCACTGGGGCACAGTAATTGAAAGGACAATAACTTAAGCTTAGTTTTGCATCCATCCACACACGTACACAGACATTTGACGTCACATTATCATGATTTTATTTGTTTTGAGATTCTGAACTAGACTGTCACGTGGTAGATTGACTATGGACGGGGTTTGGTAATCGGATTTATTGGACATTTTAACACACAACTCATGACTACATTTTAGCAATCACTATCACACACAGACTGGTGTTCTCAGTCACGATCTTCACTGCGCTACCTAGTAGCGGTTTCCAACAGTGTAGTGTCATCGACTTCCATGTCTATCGGCTCATGTCCTCGCTGACTGGCAGCTTTCAGCTGCAGCTCCCGAGCTGAACTAACCGGCTTCCAACTGCCGAACTCACATATAACGCCAGATTGACTCCATATGTAGCCTCTGCACGGATCGCACAAAATCAACTCTCCCAACAGTTTTTCTATTGTTCCATGGCGTAGCTATTGGCACGAATCGCGTAGAGAACCACATTACCAGTTACTTCATTGTGACATGTTGCGAAGCTGTTGCTTAGCCACAGGCGTGTTTTCAGAGCCGTTCCCTAAGAATGGCCGTCTCTGCTGTCTTCACAATTATGATTTTTAGCAGACATGCTAAAATATTTTAGGCTCCCTCAAAATGGAAAATGAACAGAAAAATTTTTCTAACCCTCGGCTATAACTCGGAGGTGACCGGTTTCATGTAGTTAGTACAGAAGATTTACTGCTTCTGTGTTTTCGTTATGTTAACCGCATGGTCAATTATTATTTCTCAGGAGCCAGCCACTGGGGTCGGCTATTGGAATGGCTCTACATATCAGGGTGAGAGGGGCGGAAGTAGAGGCAAATCCTCTACTGAGTTGGTGCAATCGACAAAATCCACGCAGGCTGAGTCAGCTTACGGAATTAGCACAAAAGGTTTGTTCTAATCATGGATATGTTCTGTGCAGTTCTATTTATTGGTTCTTATGCAGTTCAGCGATTCTGTTTAACTTCATCTGAAGAAGGCTACTTGGGAGACATAGACATATATAACAGTATAATATTAAAATAGATTTCAGGAAAACATTAAGCCAAGTTGTGACTGTAGATTATAAGTCAAAAAAACAAAAGCCCCGTAATTCCAAGTTGGGGCAATATTCAAGTCCAACGGTAAGATTTTGTGAACAGAGTATCAAACTATCGGGTTCCTTAAAACCGGGAACCTTCTTGATCGACTGAGCAACAGTTGCCTTTCGAAGAATGTCCCTTAACCATTAAATTAGTTCCAGTTGAAGAGGTTATATAGCGTCGAAGAGCTGGTAAGATTCTTGTGAATGGTGAGTAATGGTTCGGAAGGAGACAGTCATGGCGGTCATGGCTCATTTGAAGGCATTCGACTGGAATGACTGTGGAAAACCACAAAGAGCCTCATTTCCGATAGCCGGTAATCCAACCGAAAGTCGAACCAGATGCCTCCGCAATGCCAATGTACAGCCTTCTAGCCATAGATACCTCCATAGTTTTAGTTCGTCTTTGCAAATGTTGTAAGTAATACACACAAAACGTAATCTTACCATCCCCCCGTTACGTAAAACACGCGTAAAGAATCCATATTTCAATGAAGCCTGTTAAGCTGGATTTCATGTAACTTCATGATATTCCCGTCATACGGATTAGTGAGAAGATTAAAACCCTGTCGTTTATATGTCTTCTGCACGCGCGTTTTAATACATACATTTTTCGTTTCTTAAAAAGTGCACAGAGAAAGAGATGTCCAATTACAAGAATGAATTTCGCCTAATCCAACCTCAGACATTACAGTTGCCAAAAAAAGGAATCTCCTTATGACCCTAATCCCGCAACCTTCTCGATTTTTCTCCATAACCAGCTTTAACTTAAGCTTATGAATCTTGAGAAGCTTTTTATGTCTCATAATTAACAGTATTTTTAATATAAACTCACAACCTTAGTATCTTTGGTCAAACAGCTCTTAAACGCAATGGTTAGTTTATTGTTGAGTAATAAAATTGGATAACAATCACCATATCTGCCATTCATAAGCAAACACCTTCAGCGTAGCATTAATTTCCAACATCAAGTTTACAGAACAAGATCTTCAATTTATACGTATATATTCCAGGAATTGAACTACGGGAAAAATCAGTAACTACATATATGATTTATTTTTTTAATTCGCTTAGTGGGGGGTGGAGTCCAACTTGTGTCCACTCGGCACAGCGGCCACTGATTGGCCTATTGTACCTGCCCCAGGTGATTATGATGATGGAGAATTTGGTGGAATGAAGATTGGCAGGGGAAACCGAAGTACTTGGAGAAAACCCGCCCCAGCGCCACTTTGTCCACCACAAATCCCATTTGACCAGACTCGGGCTCGAACCCAGGCCGCCGCGGTGGGAAGCCAGCGACTAACCGCTTGAGCTATGGCCCGGCCTCGGGTGATATAATAGTCGGAGATAAACAAAAGTGAAATTCGTTAAAATCATTTAGTGCAGATGGCAAGCGCCAAGTTTTGTCACACTTTGTATTTCCAGATCTGGAACCCGTGGGCAGTTGAACAGACAAAACCTCATTTTGTACCGAAGTCGTGTGATGTTTGTATACGCTTGCGTCCGAGATCTCTATTAATTTATCTGTACCTCTGCTTAAAATAACGTTTGATGTTTTCTTTGCCGGTTACTTTGAGATAATGGCTTCATCATCTGACCGCCGAGCGAAGAATGCTAATAGGCCTATGAAGTTCATTAATTTTTTAAGTTTGAAATTTATCTAACCAATATTTGAAAATTTACTTCTTACTTCACAGAACACCCTCTGGGTCTTCATTACAGAACTCAATATATTAATGCTACTAAGGCTCATAATCATCTTTTATTCTCAGAATTATATTAAACCCACAAATATATTCTGTCGGCAAACTGTAAAGCTGATGTTGAAACAAGTGGTGCATTTACGAGTAATAACCGCTGTGAATTGAAAGCTTAAGTAATTGGAGGGATGATGGAGGAAGCAGCCATAATTTATTTTAAGACGCACTCCGGCAATCACTTGAGCATTCTGACAAAATAACGAAGCATCTAAGTTTCAATCAGGATCAGAACTAGGCACGGTCCTAATACGAGACAGAAGAGTTATTAATGTTCCAGTCCAGCCTGAATAATAATGTCTGCTCCTTTAGGTATCATACTGCAGTTTCCCTGTGGACTACGTCAATTATTTCAGTGTTTGTACCTGTTTAGACCTACCTTGGTTGCTAAAAAAACTGGCTTCTGCACCACGCATTACATTCCTGTCAGTAGCGCTTAGTGATGTGTTACTGTTTCCTGGACATGCGCATTGCATCCTAGTTTCCGAATCGGGGCGAACTTGGTCTGCGTACCAACAGTAGTGGCACGAAGGTTTTCCCGCCAACTGAACCGAGACTTCCTTTATCTCCCCTATCGGATTTGTCTGTCTTGACGTTTCTACCGGTTAGTTCGGAATAACATTTTCCGGTCACATGGCGCCAACAAAACTTACCGACAGTGCAATGGATACGACACACCAGTGAAATGTTCACGTATCTGTACTGAAAATTGTGAATAAGTTAATCGGATTGAACTGGCTCCAGAGCAACCGAATGAAGTTTCTTTTGTGAACACGGTGATGAACATTCGTACAACGTAAAATCAAGACATTTCTTGACCATTTAAATATATATCACGTTCGCAAAGAAGTTTCCATAACCTAGTCAGTTCACATTGCCATGACAAAACGCTTTGACCGGATTTATTTAGTGAAATGACTAGGGAAATTATTTACATGTACGGGAATTTGGACTGATCATGTGGATATCAATGTGTATGTTAGTAAATAGAGTTTTATTTCGAAATATAGTTGGAAGCAAATTACGTAACGAAGTTCGTAATTGATATCTACCTACAAAGGTAACGAGGTCAAACCTATACGAATAGTATTTTGTTTCAAAAATAGAAGCAAATGGTGTATCAGAAGTTGCTCTCATGCTGTAGGTCAATTTATATAAAAATGATGACGAATTTTGCCTGCTTGTTCAAAAACAATTTCACGAAATTCCAACAGGGCCAAAGACAAAATTCTTTTTCCTTTAAGAAGGTAACACACAATTGTTTACATATCTGTTGTTTAATGTAAGTGTACTAGGGATGTTTATTTTATTATTGTTGGAGGTGACTTGTTGAATGGAACTCGGTCCTTAAATGTATGATCCATACAAGTGCGCGAACTTATTTGGTTTTATGACATCTGGACTACTGGCTAGAAGACTCGAAGATGACTTCGTCGTGTAGTAGAGGGTGAGAATCACTACAGTTCACCAGAGTTCATCAAGATACCATTTTCATGGGTAAGTAAACGTACAAAATACATATAATTGATGACTGTTGGTAATGTGCTTAAATGAAGCAGCATGAGACAGGTCTGTAGCACGAACGAAGTAAATGAGATATACCTATAAAGCTCCGATCGTAATACTTCAATGGAAGAGCATTCAGAAGACTTAAATGTATTATTATTATTATTTTATTATTTCTAGTGGGGTGGGACTAAGTCCCGTGTACGGCGGCCATTTCTGGCCTATTGTACCAGCCCCAGATGATAGGTGAGGTGATTGTGGAGCAATTGGTGGAATGAAGATTGACAGGGGAAACCGAAGTACTCGGAGAAAACCTGCCCCAGCGCCACTTATTATTATTATTATTATTATTATTGGAGGGGGTGGGTTTCCCCATGCACCGCGACCAGTGGTCTATTGTACGTCCCCCTGTGATATTCTACCAGTCTCTATACCCTACCGATACTGGTGCGTGCCATCAATCCCGACTCAGCCAGCGAGTTCGGCCTCTACTGCCTCAGCGGTATCTAGATGCTTCCCCTATTTACCAGAGGCGTTAGAGACTATTGTTGGGCGGGAAATGTCCTTAATAATTTGGCTCAGAGGCCTCCTTGAGGCATGAGGTTCTTTTACGTGCCGTAACGCTACGACACGGGACCCACGGCTTAAAGTCCCTCCCGCAGGATTTGTTCCCTGAATTTTTCCGCCCTTAAAAATTCCACGACCTCCCGCCGGGTTTGAACCCGCGTACCTTGAGTCATGAGGTGGGAACGTTACCCCTAGACTACGGAGGCCGCTTTGCCTCAGCGCCACTTTGTCCACCACAAATCCCACTTGACCAGACCCGGGATCGAACCCGGGCCGCCGCGGTGGAAAGCCAACGACTAACCGCTTGAGCTATGGCGCGGCCAGACTTAAATACAGATGGGAAGGCAGTATTAACATAGGTATGTGAGAAGCAGAGTATGAATTGTGGACTATATTCAGTTGGTTGAGAATAGGGTCTAACGGCAAATGTTTGTGAAAGCGGTAATATACACGTAATTTGATCTAGTTAAAGCAAGGAGTCTGTCCATAAGCTGAATGTCTAAGCGTAAGGGGAGCTCTGCGACACGGAGTTGGTTAAATGACTACCAATTGGAGACAAAACTACTCTTTTGTGCTTTGTTTCGCATGGCTTGTAACTTCATATAATCTTCAGGGTTGAACACTGAAGATGTGGGCAGTATGTTCCTGCGAAATATCTGTAACCTTCTGCAAGAAATGCGGTGTCGGAACCAAGGAAACTAAAATCTGGGTGGCCTATTATATTTTTATTTCAGTTATTGTATGGGGCTGTATCTACTGATGTGTTTATGATAGAATGAAATTTTAGAATTATTGTAAATCGTGTATCAGTAAGGCAGCAGCAAAGAACGACCTGAGACCATGTTATGTCACTGTCTCATTTGTCTAAACAGAAAAGGAAAAATTATGGGAAACCTAAGCCAAACTAGGCTGTCCTTGGGATTCAAACTGGGTAGGCCGATCTTCCAAATCCAACGTAAAATGCGTTACCGCTGTGGGTTTTTCGCTCGGTATTCTTTGTTTCTTGTGGTTGTGAAACATGGTCTTTTACTCTGAAGAAAGTGAATTACATGTTCTTCAAAGATAAATGCAAAGTTACGTATTTTTAAAATAGGGATATGACGGAAACAGGGAAGAGTTACAATTATGTAACGAGGAACTTGCTTCGGGAGTCTTACCGAGAAGTTTGGCCCGGTAGACATGTCACGCGATGTGGTTAATAACAACTGTATACAGTATTTAGGTAAGAAAACTTTCGGAAATATCGAAACGGAAATTGGAGGCTGATTTTGTGATGGACTTAAGGAGCTGGTTTTGTTTTCAGTAGCTCGTTGTTTATACAATATAAGATACGGGTTATATTTTGACGGTTTTGCTTAAAATATTGACTGCCGTAATAGGCCTAATAAAATGGTGTCACTAACATCTCTTTTATGTGTGTTTATATTGACTGAATTTCGAATTTCCCCCAGTGTTGGAATTTGATAATAGTGATGTCAAATATTCTGCTCATAACACTAAACAGCATCTCAATGTTGATAATAAAACTCTCAAAAGTATGCAGCTCGTTGTGTCTTAACGTACTTTCAAATGGGGCAGTCAAAAAACACTAACACTACTACTCAATAAGAGCAAAATACATACTATCGATCAATATTTGTTTATTTGTGCAGTGTTTATTGCGACATGTTTCGACCTTTCTTTTATAGATCATCCTCAGGCAATACATAACCAATACCGTAAGTTCATGAACTGTGTAAAAGCATTAAATATGGATCAATAATTTAGTGTCAACAAATGTTGATAGTATCTACTTTGTCTCATTGAGTACTAGTGTTATTGTTGTGTTGACTGCCCCATTTGACGTACGTTGATACTAAAACGCTTGAATATGAAAGTCGTTATGGTCGTTACTGCAGTTGTCTCACTCGGGCCCCGAAAGTGTTAGTAAAGGATTAGGTTGAAATGGGCACCTTAATACTATATGAAATACTTTTTTTTTATTATTATTATTTGTGGTTTCTTTAACGATGTTTTCAATAGCTCAGTTTATATGGCGTCGAATGATCGTGAGTGATGAATTAGCAATATTGTGGAAGTAAGCGCTCGGGGAGCCGGTCACGGTAGCCGAGCGGTCTAAGGCATGCACTGTCTTCGCTCACTTGGAAACCGGGATCGTGGGTTCGAATCCCACTCAAGGCATGGATGTTTAGTTTGTGTGTGTGTGTGTGTGTATGCGTTTTTCTATGTTTGTGTACAGGTAGAGGCCTTGCGACGAGCTGATCACCCTCCCAAGGAGTCCTACCGAATGTGTAAGATCTAGAAAAACCGAAGTGAACGGAGAAGTTCATGGAGGTAGGCCTAGGCCCACTGGGGCTGTAGTGCCAAGGGGGGGGAAAAAGCGGTCGGGGACCGGTCGCGGTAGCCGAGCGGTCAAAGACATGTACTATCTTCGCTCGCTCCGAAGCCGGGATCATAGGTTTGAATCCCATGCAATGTATGGATGTTTAGTGTGTGTATGCGTTTATTCTGTGTTTGTGTTGTCCTGCATTTAGGTAGAGACCTTGCGACGAGCTGATCACCCGTAAAAGGAGTCCTACCGTCTGTGAAAGTGATCAAGGAAACAGAGCAATCAGCTCTATGCTCCAAAGTGGGAGCAAGAGAGAAAAAAAGCAATCGTGGTATAATTCAAATGAGTATCTCGGCAGCTGGCCGGAGGTACTCGGGAAATAAAGACGAAATGCCTCAGAATAGCAGGTATCCGAGCCAAGGTTTGAACCCGGAATCTCCGCAATACGAAGCGGCAATGCTAACTGCTCGACTTCGACGATAAGAGTAAAACCCTATTTCTTAGATATCTCATTGCCTGTTTCTCCGTCTGGTTTCCAGGCGACCATAACCTGATTTAGAGCGCAAGCAGTGATTATGTCTATGCTGTTTCGTTGCCTGGAAACAGTTTGTTTACTGAATCAAGCACACCTTATACAGAGCCACGATGGCACCAAATAGAACATTAACCAATGCGAGTATAACATATTCATTATATTAACGTACGGTGAATATCACTGTTTCAGTGTAGTTCAACTTAACAGGAATCCGAGGTAAAAGAAAAAAGTAAAACTATCCCTGTAACATGCCGTAGAACCCATAGGGTTGTGAGACGTAGAGGCTCCCACATTTCTCTAGACAGTCGGCTCAAAGATGGCGGTAAGGCTGTCAGCCGGCCCCGGCCGCCAATTATTCCCTACGAATATTCGTGGTATTCATTTCTGTTAGAGGATAAGTCGACCCCAGGACCATAGTGTGGCCGGAAGGATGAGGTAAATTGAAAAAATCCACCTCATTGGGTTTCGATCCTGAGACCTTCCGGCTTGTGGCATAGTGCCTCAACCAACTACGCTTCCGCGTGCCCCCCAAAAAGGTACCTGAGCAAAGAACAAAGACACCCAGTTTATTTATTTATATCAGTTGGAATATTTATTAATGACTGTGTCATGATACGTAAACAGTTTCGGAACTTTACTGCAGTTCATAGTTCATTTGTCTTCAAGGGCCGCGCCATAGCTCAAGCGGTTAGTCGCTGGCTTCCCACCGCTGCGGCCCGGGTTCGATCCCGGGTCTGGTCAAGTGGGATTTGTGGTGGACACTATGGCGCTGGGGCAGGTTTTCTCTGAGTACTTCGGTTTCCCCTGCCAATCTTCATTCCACGAATTTCTCCACAATCACCCTCACCCATCATCTGGGGCTGGTACAATAGGCCAGAAGTGGCCACAGTACAAGGGACTTAGTCCCAAATCACTAGTAATAAAAAAATTTGTCTTCGGTCAGCGGGAATATGCCCATATGTTCATCAAATTNAACTTCACCTTTTGCAGACAGCTCAATCCTTTCCTTGATACTGTTCACAATGCCTCAGAAGATCTCTGTCTCTTCATAAAAAACGTGAAATTCATTCTCAGTCCTATCGTGGAGTCGATTTCTTTTCGTAAGCTTCTCTACGTGAAACTTATCCTCAATATATCCCACAAGAAAACAGCCATCGGAGTTTACGTTGGTCACTTATTGGAGCTCTTCCTTCCATTCGCCCTACAGAGAACAGTTTCGTTAAGAAAAACAAAGAATTTGATAGGGAAAATGCTAAGGCAAGCTTAGATTGAGTACGCAGGCGACTATCATATATTCTCGCTGCGTTTGCAAGGCTGATCACAGCTACTGTCTTTAACGAGGAGAAGAGGCAGGAGGCAAGTAGATTGGAAATAGTCAATCTTGATCATTCTGCTGTTCATTCTGGGACAGATCTAGCTCTATTCTACCAACAGCAATGGCAACATTCTTCCGAGGATTATGCCAGTATTTTCAATTTGCCCAGTGTAAGCTGGCTGTCTTTTCTTGTCGTTGGACGCTGGCGTCTAGATCCCTTCTGCTGCCATATTAGCCATATTAGT